GATTCGCATTTGTCGATCTTATCTTCGGCGATGCTCACTTCCGACTCGCGCTTTGCTACTGCGTTTTTCCCTGATGTTCCCGTTATTTCCGACTTTCCCGGTTCGACCTTTTTCATTGTCGGCCATTTCCTAAACAAACGCCTTCGTCGTCGTTGTGCTCTCTGTTGTTTCTCCCTCTCGCCGACCTTTCCAACTCGCACGCCTACCATCGCTCTACCACCGTGCTCAGAGCAATGGATGTAGCTGCAGTTCCTTCTGCAACTACAGCCATTGCAGGCGGGCAAATGTTTTAAGGAAATTACACATGAAAAAACTGCGTAGTAGCAGTAGTAGTGGCGGCGGCGTGCCACAACGGCGTTCGTGGCGTACGCGCAGTATGATAGTAGCTGCAAGAATACGCACATCAAGTTGCTTTGTCCCTTTACAACTGGCCTTTTCCCGTTTTTCGTTAGCTTCATCCGCCAGCTTTGTCTTTATTTTTTTTTTTTTTTATTTTTATTAACATGTCGACGTCGAACAAAAGGAGCGGATCGGTGACTGAGAAGAGCACATAGTATCGAACAGCAGCAGTCGGCAACCGAGGCGGTGCACAGCTCCGATCTCACTTTGATTGTCTTCAACCGCGCTTTGGCATCTATAGCCGTCGCTGACGCTATCACTGCTAACAGTCGACACACAAGCGGGCAGGCAAGAAACAGGCGGATCGGTGAACGGGCGGCGGGTTTCTGCAACTGCGTCGTCGAAACGCAATCCCACGGATCACTAAGTTGACCTGACAGTGGCATTGATGTGAACGGAGATGGCAAAGAACGAGCGGAGATAGATGGATAGAGCAAGCAGAGATACAGAGAGAGAGGCTGGATATCTTACCATTGCCGGTAGTGCCGCCACTAGCAGAGCACGTTCTCCGCCACGTCTTTCCTTACAACGCCCTTCTCCCTGAAGTTTCCCCAAGCCTCACAGCCCCTTCCGGTTACCACGTTCGATTTTCCGTATGTCTGTGCTTCCTTCTGTTGATACCCACCGCCTCGATCCGATAGATACGACCGCTACTAAGTGAGACGAGGCAAAAGGAAGAGACAAAACCAAGACGAAGTGTAAGAACAACAGCAGAGTGAAATCAAGATGCCCCGAATTGGCCTTGCTTTCTGGCTTGATCGAGTTGAGTTGCGATCGATTTCGCTGACAATCGCTCAGTCGTCAACAGCTAGCTGGGCCGCAATCGTCATCGTTCTCCTTGTTTTCGTCCACCAGCCGCGTCCGTTGTAAACTTGTCCTAACATAACCCAACCAATGCCGTTGGGTCTTTGAAGACAGCGCTACCGATAGAGAACGCGGATACGTGATAGACGGAGGAAGGAAGGCGTGAGGGATACGGGGATAGCTGATAGACAGGACGAGTGCGCTCAGCCAGGTCTAAATCGAAAACCAATACAGATGTCGAGCGTCGGGAGAACGCCATAATGAAACGAGCAGTAGAGGAACGAAGGTGGGATGGTGCCTTAAGCAGCATCGAAGCGATTGGCGACTGTTGCCTCGGGTCGGCTTATAGTTGCTGCCCGCCACTGCGAGCACCGGCCAGCTGTACTTTTCCCGCTGCCACACTCTGTCCACCACTGAAGCTTTGCCAATTTTGCTTCCCCTTTACCTGACGCATCGTTCCATTTTAGCGACCTGGAGAAACTGAGACAAGATCGTTCGAGGCGACGAAGAACAGCTTTTCGGTTAAAGTAGGCGGGGTGAGGAAGGCTCAGGTAACTTTCTCAGGATTGCCACGAGCCGTCCACTTTCAGGCTTTGTGAAGAAACAAACAATCGCTTTGATTAAATTCCTTTTTCTTGGCCTACATCGAATTTGCTGCCAAGGCCATTATCCATGGGTCCCATATAAAGGCTTCTACAAGTAACAGTGCTGTAGCTCTCAAGCGATGCTACTGTGTCTATGAAGGAAAGTAATAACGCTCAGAATAACTTATAAGAAACAACTATGGGACGCCCGATCATCTAAAACAGGTTACCTTAAGTTGAAGGTAGATTTCCGCCAGTTAGTAAACGCGTACTTCGAAAATACTTTTTATTTAGCACAGCCGACTTAGAAAGACCTGAGTAATTTGAACAGGGGCTCTAAACGTCACTTGACATTCACTCTTTTAACCTGTCAATTTTAGTTAACGTCTATCTAGAACTATACATTTTCGACAGAAGTGTTTCAACATTCATGAATTTCAATTGTTTCTTGTTGATTTCCCTGACTGTTCATCCTGCCAGCGTCCGGGAACCTAATAAAAAGCTCAATTTTTTCGATTCGTCATTTACTAGAGCTAATGTGATTTTGTGGGATGTCTTCGCAGCGGTAGCAGCATCGCACGAGAAGACAATCTCACAAGGAGCAAACTTGTCAAAGTTAGCCTTATTAATATTTCATTCAGATTAGATAGGTCCATCCTTCTCTAGCCACTCCTTTCTGCTTTATACTTCGGCCCCTCTTTGCACTTGTTCTATTGCTGATCCCAGCTTGCAAGCAGATGTGCACCCTCAGGTCGATAGACGACGCTTTCAAAGCTTCCTTGGTCTCCCGTGGCGCTCAACTCTCCATTTCAGCTTCGTAGCCAATCAGCGTTTGCAACCGATGGTGCCTCATCGATGACTTCAACTCATCCAGGTTTTGTCCCCTTTGCCTACCCTCATATATAAAGGTAAGCAAGGGTAGGTTTGCAGTACGACCGGAGGCGGAAATAACTATCTTAATAGTTATCTATGTGCAAAAACGATATTGGAAATGCTTATTATTTTACAATGACAATGTCAGGGATTACAACACGGACTACTTAATAACGCGAATCCTCCATTTATTTCTTGGTGTTGTGGGCCATTTATGTAATGTGCCTACAACTCTAAGAAATACATGCCCATATATCCGTGTAGTGTGCTCTCATCACGTCGGTGGATTTCGGCCTTTGGGTTTAAGTAAGCCCTTGTGTCTTTTTTGTAGTTAAGTTCAACTTCAGTTGCTATATAATTAGGTAAAAACTTGATCCATATTAGTGTTTGACTAGACAAAGCGAAGGATATACAGGCCATATTAAGACGTCAATAATATCAGAAAACTTTGCATGAATCAGGCTATTCAGATTCTGAACAGAACATATATACAATTAACGCATACGCCTATGTAGTCGATTAATTTTTGATCGGATTCTAGCATTTTACAAGTTCGACTATGGAAAGCCATTATCAAGGCAAACTCGTTTGTTAATTTTTTAGACCCCCATCGCTCTCGAGCGTCAGTCTCTTGCCTGTATGATTACGATTGGTAATACGAGGCTGTCAATGGGTCTCAGAAGGTTGTTGATTACGATAGGACTGACGCCGGCGTCTTGTCAACCGCTAAAGCATACCATTGGCAGTAAACTATAGGACATACGGCGGCTATCGTAAAATGTGCAACTACTATTCACCATTGCTCTTTTCATCCATCGTGTGATGCTACTTAAACAACTCCCATCGACCACGCGACCTGCTCCATTGAGAGGTCTCTACGGGCGCTACCGTCACCGCCCATCTCAGCAACTCATTTCAATGTCATCGAATTGAGTTTAGCACTCGCGGCTTTGGGATGGACGACTCGAATGCGGCGAAGATATTGTACCTGCCCAATAGCAAGCAAACAGGCAACCGTCTCTGCATGAAACGGGCATTGCATTGAGTACAATACACGAAGTTGCAATGAAGACCAACCAGCTAGGCAAGGTGACAGCGTCCTTCATGCCCGCGTGCGTGCGTGCGTGCGCCTCACTGTATGAGTGTGTGTGCATGTGTATGATGTTTCGGCTATTGAATTGGCCAAATCCCGGCAGCCGCAGCCGCAGCAGCAGCAGCAGCAACAGCAAGACGAGGCGGCCTGAAGGACCATGTAGGGACAACGATGGTAGCTCGACTAAGCAAAAAGGGAGCGTACGGGAAAGTGCTAGCCTGGGTTGTACGGGGTGGGTGCATACAGATGAGCAATCTGTTTGGGGCACCAGACGACTAGTCGGGGAACGGCTGGTTGGTTGTCTGGTGCCCAACTGCTGAACAACCACTATATCTATCAGTGGACTAGCCATGCCTCTTTGGGCTGGTGCACCGCGATCGTGAATAGTGGCTGCAATCTTAGGATAGTCGGGTACCTACATCGCACGTATGAATGGCCGGGCTATTTACTGTGCAGGCCAGCAGGATTTTCACAGAATAGAGAATAGAATTCAATCTCTGATTCATCCGAACAAAAGCCAAAGCTTGTTCAGCCTGCTGAGATAGGCGACGAATTACTTTGTAAGACAACAAGCGAAGTGAGATATATCTATATCTATGGATCAAATTGACACAATGAATTGTCGACGAATACCTCATTCGTGAGGTCCTTTCAGACGGCAGATGTATATTTGAATTAAGCCTAGTTAAATTGATCGCAATGCGGGGCAAAATACAAGACTGCCGATCGGTCAATGTTGATTGTTTTGAAATTAAGCCTTTGTCATACAAGATAATCTATAAGTAAAATTTTATAGCTCCTGGAAGTGTGTAGGTAATCTTCTACCGGCACTTCAACCCATTTTTAATGTTTTTTCGATAATTCGACAGCTCGATAATTCTCTTAATTTGATACAAGCTATTCACGTAAACAAAGCATAACGATTGATATTGGTGGCCCAGGCGTCCAAATGATTTGACGTCTCTCCATTTATGCAATTTCGATAGGTCGTGATCACCGCATCGTCTGCGATTTATAGCATCAAGTATATGCCTGTGGTCTCAGTGCGTCCGACCCAGAAATGACTGGCATGACCATTACGGATCCCTATTCATCTCTACGATCCAGTTCTAGTCTCCTGATATCGTGACTTGTGGCCTCCATTTGACTTCTAGCAGGTATTGACGTGCTGCTTTTTCCAACGTTTTTACGATCCAACAGAGTCGCATATAAGAACATCGTACGACAAAGTCCAGGTGAGAGACGCTGACCGTTCCAGGGTGTTATGCAAATGTTCACAAACGTCGTTCTTACTTTCGATCGATTCTACTGTCTGACTATGAAATATCATGTCGTTTTATTGGTGGCGGCAGCCGCTCTGCCCTTTGTCGCAGGTAGGAGACAGTCACGCGACCACGGTGCTTTAGATCACGAGGTTGTTGGCCGAATCAGTTCAGAGCGAAATCAACTAGGTGTCGGAATAAACACAGGGTCCGGTAATAGGCACAATGAGCGTACGAATAGCTTTGTAGAGCGGCACGAAAAAGAAGAGTCTTCGGTAGCAAATGAAGCTGGCAGTGATGGCGGGACAGATGGAAACGAGAGTGGCGTTATGAGACAAGGTATTTTCATACATATTAATTTGTGTAATCTGCTTCAGCTAATTTCTCTTTAATCGTTATTCCTATTAAGGCTAGCTATGGGTTAGAATGGGTCGATAGAAATTGTTTTGTCGATCTTTATTCCGTTGACAAGCTGCGTACGTGTTTTGGCTGGGTCGAATGTTACTATGCAACGATGCTGTAGATACAAGCAAAGACAAGGTTTTTATCAAACAAGAAGTACCTTTCTTGTAAAGTGATCTCTTGTAGAAGGATGTATTTACTTAAAGATCACGTTGTTTGTATTCATATATTAAACATACACGTTATGTCTTGGTATAGTAGACTCCGGGAACGACATCTTAAACTGCGTAAAAAGCATCGATATGGATCTGTACGGTGCGTTTAAAACCATCCGTGAAGCGCTAAGGAGAGAAGGTACAAACCATCCTGGGGGATGTGAGTATTTGCAGACAAACCTTTATTTTTATTTTTGTTGAAACACTAATACTCCTCTGAAGCAGTGATTATTTACTGATTGTATACGGTCATTTCTCAATCGAAAGCAAGCCAATTGGTCGACATTTGTTTGAATATTATAATTATCTTAGAAGTAAAAATATGTAAACGTAATAACAAAGCGGTGTGGATTTCTATGCTGTTTTTGTAGTAACCCACGGCCAACTAACTGATTTAATTGACTGCCTAGAACACAAGAACATCGTTCCTATTGATGCGCTTCGTGCACTTGAAGGTATTGTGCACCATCTGAAAACCAATCCTCATCTAATACCTCTCCCAAGCAAAGAAATAGGTCCCTCGTCAAAAACAAACCCCTCAAGGAGTACAAGTCGGGCAGGGCACATAAGTAAAAGCAACCAAATCCAGGCCAGCGAGACCATGTATCCCCATTCCACTACAATCAGCAGGACTACGACTACGAACGCCACGACCACTGAAGCTCCAACGACTCATGCACGCAGTAAAAGTGTGGCCAATGTTATTCAGAAGGAGCAAAACAGCAAAGCTGAATTTTCTAAAACCGGCACTTTTTCGAAGTATTGACACCGTATGTAATGGCCCCCGGCGAATTCGCTAGACAGACGGACTGAGATAGAGGAGTTTCAATATACGAGTCCAGCACTGCGCAACGACTGTATAATCAACGTACGCTGAATATATGTAATTATTGGACGGTAAGGCAGTCGTACACATAGCTAACTTGACGATTCGTTCTAGAGCACATTTGTTGCCATTTTTCGAAATTCGGCTACGATGAATCGTTTCGAAATTCGTCTTACATAGACAAAGTGTCTGCTATTGATCGCTGACATAATTTGCATATGCATCCTATCTATATAGCTTATTCCTATCCAAGTGATGTATCATTAACTCCAGTTCAACTTATAAGCTTTGTATGGTAAATCGTATCAGCAGAATCTTAACTGATAGAAAAAGCTCGGAAGAGCTTAACGCTTTATTGCATGTTCATAGCGGTAAACATATGGTTGGTTCTTTCCAAGCTTTGCGAACCATCATACCATAGGGGGCCTACACATTATTTCCATGTTAGATAGCCGAGTACTGTTGAAAGGATTTGGGCGGACGCATCCACAAGCCGTCTGAATGATCTGAACACTGACTCACTTCTTTACGTTAACGGTAAATGTCATAGAAGGTACAATGCACAAACATTATTATAGGACCGCGTTTGTATAGCCCTCTTCCTGTGTTTCGGATTGCATCTATAAGAAATTTTACTAATCTACAATTTACACGCGTGTCTGGTGTTAGCTTGTGACGTATCAAACGGCAGACAAACCGTGTCAATCAGTACCGATTGTCCGTCACCTATAGTTGGCATGACAAATGTTATCATTTTACCAATTATAGCTCAAATTGAAATTGTGATTATACTTAATAGCCGTACGCTGGACCCGTAGTATACCTACATATTCCTGTCTTTGTTCGTTAAAGGAGTCGAATATTATATGAAAGCTCATCATGAAATTGTAGTGGGCAAATCGCTGACGAGGAAAGGGCAAGTGCTAATCTTATCTCGAGACGAATAAGTAAAATATATGATAGACAGTTATTGATTAAAGCGACTGGCTTTTGATATGTTATATTTATGGTGAAACGGAACCCCATTAATATTTGATTTTGCTAATACGGGCAGAATCCGCAAGTTCCAATGGCGCGTTTTTCTCCAGTTTTCAGCCGTATCGACGGTGTCTAACGTCTTTTCTGGTTGCAAACTGTAAAAGCATACCAACAACGTTTTTTTGAAATACAAACGGGAAACAATATAGGCCAACCAAGGACTGCAGTTAGTTGAAATTACTGTTTGAACGTACCTAAGTATTACCAGCACAGTTTTTCAACCTCGAAAAGGTTCTCATTTGCAAAATCCATACTATGCAATTTAAGGGAAGTTTAATTAAAGGATAATTATCCTGTGAACTTATACAATAAGTTTAAGCTTAAGATATACAATATCTTAAGCCGCTTATCGATTTAACGCCTGGAGCTGTTCTAACGCTTAATTATCATCAGAACAATGCTAAGTTATCCGTATCCGAAAGAGTCCTATAAGAGAGTCAGTCTACGAAATTTTGATAGCAATTGAAACTAGACTAGACTAGACTAGACGGGGACGTAAAGTTGTATGGAAGAGAAAACTTAACTTAACTACACTCTTGAGATAGGTACTATTCTATTGTAAATATACGTGGATCATCTATTAATGGGTAACAATAACAGACTGGTTTGAAAACACTGTCACCATTAGACGCTAATTTTCTTTCTAGTCTTTTAGAGACTTTTTGCCTGGTATTGCCGACACCGCTAGCTCCCTCTCGAGCATCGAAATATACTGATAATAATAATTATCTTGAATTATTATTTTTTTTTTTACATTAACAGTCCCACGCACAATGATCTGCGCTAATTGTTTGCCATTTCGAATTACGTATATTTTCTTTAAATATTCTTGATAAAGTAGCCGGAACCATAAAAATAGACCAAAATCTACTTCTGTCATAAGTATTCGTTTATTTTCGACGCGTTAGTACTTCTAGTAAAACAAGAAAAAAAAAGCAAATCAGATGGATTTGAGCTTTTTTTGCGCGGACCTGCTTTTCTGATCTAGGGTATGGGACCCACAGCTTCTAGTTCCCATAGCGGATTGATGATTGAACAGCACTATAATTGGTCTAAGGCTCAGATTTGACCATCGACTTCCGACCTGAACATGATTTCTTTATATCGTGTCCAAAAGAAAGTGGGTCCTCCAACCCGTTGGAGAATGCAATAGTAGCTGGCTAACGACTCGATGCTCGCAGTCACCCATATTGTTTAGAACTATACATTGCGTACCTTTATTTACAAATACGGCTCAATTCTCGATTTGTTACGTTTTCGTATTGGATATTTTTGTCTCACGAGTAAGCAATGTGGCACATTGTTGTTGTTAGTGATTATCTCTATTCATTGTAGACCTAGATATTATTATGTTGTTATCTATATTATAGTGCAATATTGTAACTAGTTTGTGGGGCTAGCACAGAGAGGTATTTCTCCAATTCTTTCCGTCCAGCCAGTCCTTGCGGACGCTATGATCTGACCAGTTCGCAGATCGTCTAATCTATCCGAGACAGACGTTTGCATAGCCATCTGATTCAAATTATCAATTATAATAAGCCTATAGGCAATAGTGCGGTGGAGCGTACTCATTTTCGGCCTTTAGTTTTGTTAGTTCCTTGCCATATGACTTCGAAGGTGTACGGAATCAGGCTACGCTATTCTAGGGTCCATGAAAAAAACACGCGCAAATGAAGGCAGTCTTTTCCTATTCCGCCGTCTACATTTGCTTTCTGTAATAATTTACGTATGAAAAAAGAAAGCTTTCATGGTAACACTGTAGACCAATTAGACAGGCTGGCTGTGTTCACAGATTGGGCAATTTAGCAAAAAGTTGGCACATAGAGACGTTTGAGATTGGCACATTATCAGCTAGACAATAATTCCACGGGGGCAAATACTTTTCAAAATTCCGGAAAAAAATTTTACCAGCTGGGAACTATTTACAGCTTGATTGGGTTTTATAACAGTTATTAACAAGTTAGTGATGCTAAGATGCTAGCTTTCTTTTTCCCCAGGACCGCACGCTTCTTTAAGGGTGTTTAGTTGTCTGATACGTGACGTCTCTTTGAGCCAGTTGTCAATGGGCGCTTAGTAAGAAGATCTCGGCTTGACCATTCAGCTCATCCAAACGTTATAGATCATTTGTTCTACTGGAAATATTCGCAAGTACGCATCGAGCATGATTGTCTTGGTACATAAAAGTCTGCCTTCTTGGACGGGATTAAAGTGAAAATCAAACTTATACGTTTCGTGTATAATTCTATAGAGTAGAGTAGCAAAATCAATAAAGCCTTCAACAGCTTCTTACTTTCACTGTAGCTGTTATCATATAATGATTCAAAATGATGAAGCTATTGAAGAACAGTTTCCTACTTCTGTCCTTATCCTAAACCTTTTTGTTTTCATTTCGTTCTTTCTCATGGGTCATTTTTTCTACCGATAACAGTCATCACCACTGCAAAATCGTATTGTAGCCGCTGCCCGCTAAATAAAACTTGTTTCAAAAAAGTCAACTAGATAAGTCGAGCTAGACATCCCGACAACGTCCGCTTGCCATGTGCGTCTTTGGAGAAAGGCGTGGTATTCTTCTATCGTTGAGACGTCAGCACTATTCGAGGCCTTTTGGTTAAACCGTTTGTGTGGCGCTTATTAATCACCGATCGATCCTTGATCTTATTCCAAAGATCCAGCTGATTATTTACACCTTCGAAATGCCCTTCATTCTGACGTAACGTGTTTTAACACATAAATAAAGGCTGAGCTAATTGTACCTGCATCAGTTGAGTGTATTTTAATTTACGTAGATGTGGTCAAGCTCGATGTGGAGCCAGACTTATTGTTGGCTTGAAGTAGAACTCACTGAAACTAAAAGGTCTGCCTGTAAAAGAAAGCTTATAAGCTTCCTACATACTTTAACTTACTCACTTTGAGATATCCACTTGATTTTTTTGCTTTGATGGCAGTTCTAAATTGCCTTCATCTATTCGGAAATTTCAATGTTTAGCGTTCTTGCTTGAACAAACAGATGTTGCCAGCTTTGTTGCACGTATTACTATTTAACAGAGAACGCCCTATGCACTACTATGATAGTTGTAAATCTAGGCCAGTCCACGTATTCCTAACTCTACAAGGCAAACAGGTCATCGCTGTACCTTAGCATGGATAACTAGAGCTGGAAGTAGATCTTCTAGCACGATTTGGTCTCCAACAATTTCGGTAGGTCATCATTACAGGAAGGTAAATTAGCAACAAATCTACGTTCGTTGCTATTCGTGCGTCGTAACATTTCCGAAACGTGCACGCGGCCGTTCTTCGAATGGTGTCCGTATCTGAGCTCCAGCTGTTGATAAAGTCTCACACAGGTCGTTAATATCGCCTAATCCATAAGGTTGGGCGTAATCGAACCACGGTGGTGTTAGTATCATGATTGTTGTCGTTGCAGCTGTTATCGTATCTATCATCTGTGCGTTTCGATGAGCCTCCGCCGCTGCCACTGTCGTTCATGGCAGCTTCCTTGTTTCATTAATTATCAATACTAATAATTGATGTTTCATTTTGTTGTCACTAACGTTACCGTGCGCTTGAGACGCTGCATGATCTCGCTAGACGCTACTCCGTTCCAATGCTAAAAGCAGTGCCAGCGTCACTAAGATTACCCGTATGGTTTTTCGCGAGGCGGTGGAGATGCAAAGCTTGTGGAAACTTTTGCCGAGTAGAATGTCGGCGTGTATCCGCGCTCGTTTCGACGTAGCAGACAATCAGGGACAGTCCTTTATTCTATGCGAGGAAGTAACCCTCGCCGGTGCTTGCCTAGCGGCACTTACCAACGGAATGATAGAAACGTACACGTAGCCGCAGCCAAAACGGGAGATCCCAGCGTCACAGAGAACACATGTCTGTATGTGAGTGCTTGTCTGGCTCGTCGTCTATCCAGGCAGAACGAAGTCCATAGACATGACGCGGACGCGGAGTAACATAGCTTGAGATTAATGAAATTGCCTTTTTTCGTATGTGCGCTCTTTCACAACGTACTGCCTACCTGCCATGCTATAGAGATACGTTTAAAGTGTTAAGCCACTCCTTAATCTCGCCAAAGCTGCAACGGTTCGCTTCTCTAGCAAAAATTAACCTGTTGCGGACATCGAACACGGTTTGAACGCAGCGAGCCTGTGAACGAATTTCATGTAGACGAGAAAAGTGGGAATACAACGCGATACATGTGAAATTTCGCGCGCAAAAAATAAAACTAGCCGCTCCCGAAGAAGCGATTCCGCGAGCTTTATCTAGGCCTGCAAACAGCGGTCGTCCGTCACACTTCAGGCCCCGCCAACAAACGAGCGTCATTACCAAGAAACCATATTTTTGTAACGCAATCACCTTTCATCGTTGAACAATAAGGCGATTGAGGAGCGCAAATTGGTGATGATGGTAAAGCCTAACCTTGTAGTGTTCGTGTTTATAGCTAGTGGTGTGCTGCAATTAGAGGGCAGTAATTTTGCGGCTGTAGGTTCGGGTTCGTTAAGTGTGAATGAAGCCGAGCATGTACATCCACTTCACCTAGACAAATTAAAATCAGTCACAAGTATATGGGACTATCTGTGGCACGTTTGGAAGGGGGTCGAAGACGTCATCGCGGGCAGAATTCCCCACCCGTTTAAATGCACAGAGTGCTTCGATGGACTTGGATGCTTCGACGCATGCAACGGAACATTCCGCTACATCCATTTACTTCCGGAGACGCCTGAGCAAATCAACACGACTTTTCGATTATTCCCATGGTAGGTTTTGTTGTGACGCGCGTTTAGATTCGTAAGCGTGCGTTCGGATATCGATCGTGAATTTTATCTAGATTATCATACCTATTATCTGTTATTGTCGAAACTTGCTGCAATGCGAGTTGAAATTCCCTGCTGGAACGCATCGATTGCTGTGGACAAGATTAAATAAGCAGTTTTCTACTAGTTGAAAAATGGCATCTTTCGTAGGGATCATCTTAATGGTACGTTAAATTACTTATGATGGTACGTTCACTTGTAAAACAAGCCGACTTTTCATTACGAGGTTGCATATCTGAATTTATCAGAGTATCACCAAGCTCTTGATATTAGATCCGGAAGTTTTATCAATAAATGTAATAATTTCCCCTCCAAATCGGATGTACATGAACTAACCGTACATCGTAGCTTGACAATTCTTCCAATACAAGCTAGCTATATACATTCATATCAGATGACATTTCCATGCCGACACAAACGTGCGTCAGCGAGCTTTCAGAAGCAGACTTTACATTATAGTCGTACATCTCAATTCGGATGCCCATCCCGTACAAGCATGCTCGGATAGGTGGAGCCGAAACCTCAGATATCGTACAAATTGCAAGCGGTATACGACGATAGTTCTTCTGCACGAGGTTCGGAACGCTTGGGTTGTCCTCGAGAGTTCGCTTAGAGCTTCGTTCGTTTGCCGATTAGCCGGTACAGAGTCCAAAGCGTAACCTGTAGTTCGACGCATGCCTTCGCACCGCTAATTCACTCTTTGTTTTCCATATTTCGGGATGACGCTTGATAATGCGAGATCTTCCGCTTACATCAGTTAAGAGTAGATTATACGCCTACTTCTTTTACCGGTTGAAGCGGCAATAGCAGCTCCGTATCAGATAGGCATACACGCTTTGGATTGCCCTTTCGACTCAACACGTTCGAATCTGCTCATAGCTTTCGACGTGGCCCTACGGCTCAATTGAGCGTCAGTGGTTTCTTTTCATGTGGCAGCTGACAAATTAACTATGTCCCGCTCGCAACAGTCAGTAGTACAACAGAGTCCTTTGGCAGTTTGCAGTACGTAAACTGATGATCAGGGTCCAAATGTTATTCAGCTACAGCTAAAAACCGTTGGCAAATATGGCCGACTCAAGCGTCGAGAATCAGATCAGCCGCTTGTCCGTAAAATGATGGCCCCACGACTGAGCACAGTTCAAGCATATCAAGAAGGGCTTCTTATAATACGATTCAGTGGCAACGACTTAAATTGAGGCGGAGTAATTTTCTTTAAGCAAATGCAGTTAAGTGCGGTGACAGATATAGCTATTCAATTAACGAACAGAAGGCTCTATTGTGCGATCACTACAGGTATGACAATGCAACCGCAATGTTCCTAAATTACACGGATGTTACCGGGCTCAATAAGACCATTTTCAATGACAAGAGCCGCAGTCTGCTCATCGTAAATCATGGCTTTGCCGCCGACTCGAACTCGGAGTGGATGGTCGACCTCAAAAATATCGTCATTCAAAACGTTAGTAAACTTCAAAGGCGTTTATGATCACTCGAAACTTGCCCCCCCTCTGCGTTTCACAGTACTCTAACTATTGCAACTGATTATTTTCATTGTTCTAATTGGCTGACACAGCGTCGATATAATGTGATACTCGTCGACTGGCTGAACGGGGCGGGCCCGTACGATTTCTTCTATCCTTTGGCCGTCGTGAACACTGAGGTAGTCGGACGTCAGATAGCGGTTTTGCTATACCAGCTTTTATCAACTTACGCCCTGTCACCGAGTTCTATTCACTACGTAGGACACTCCCTTGGAGCGCAAACCGCGCATTTTTTTGCTGATTACTTCAAAAAAATCTCCGGGGGCATGAGAATCAACAAAATAACAGGTATGGCTAACGATCCTAAACATTGCAGGGCGTGAAGCACTAAGTTTGGGCAAAAAAGCGTAGGCAAGTTATTGCTGTTCATCAGTGATAGGTGTCTTTTCTATTCAGCTTTACTACTAAGTGAACCAATTAGACAATGCGTATACTCTCGAAATATTTTCAGTTGCCTTCTTCAGTTAACCTTCGATTAATGATATGCTTTATACATACAGCTCTTGACGCAGCGTCGCCTCTTTTTGAAGCGTACGGCGTGGGGCTGAATTCCAGCGACGCGCTGTTTGTCGATGCCCTGCACACTTCCGCCGGCGATTCGATTCTAATGGGAAAGCTGGGAGTCGTTTATCCCATTGGCCACGTCGACTTTTATCTTAACGGCGGCACGAAACAGCCCGGGTGCTGGGACATTAGTAAGTACTGCATCTGATACATTCGAAACTTTATAAGGTGCGCTTCAAATTTACTTAGCACGGCCTCTAACGATTCTTGCTTGCCACATCAGAACATAAGACTTCAGTTCTTTGAAAAAATGGCCCCATACAGGAATAACCAATGGCAATATACATCTATTTTTTCTACCAACAGACTTGGTATGTGCTCACACCCGGGCCCATGACTATTACGTCGAGGCCGTTGAGAACCAGCTGACAAAGGCCAACTGTAGCTTCCATTCACACTCCTGCACCAACGGTCTGAACGGGTACATGAATGGCACTTGCTATCCAATGGTCGGAAATTTCAGCCGTATCGCGTTCGACATCACCGACAAGATGCCTGGAAACGGGATGCAGTACCTCGAAACAAATTCAAGTTCACCCTTCTGCATTCAGTGAGAACGAACGCAGCTCAGAAGCCATCAAGTTCAATCAAATCAGTCTCAGTATAACAGGCTGATTCAGTGTAAAAATTGTCACGTCGGAAATGCTTCAAAACGAAGATGAAGCACCATGACGGCAATATTTCGATATTGTTTTAGGAATCATAAATACATGGTAGTAACAACTATACTTAGTGTCAACCTGTTGTGCAGAGGCTAATTATAGTATCTGTCTGTGGTGCTTCAGTCTATTTTCTTTGTGCTTGAGCTGTCATGATGAGACGACAAGTGAAGATCAAGGAGCATTATAATTGTTCCATAATCTAAGGTAATTAGGATGTGGAGAGTTTAGGCTGCGAGTGTTTTTCAACTGCCTGAGCCTTTTTAAGTACCTACCGCCAGGAGCCTTTAATTAACCACAAATGAAAGTAAAAAAATTACTGAGATGAGATTAGCATTGTGCATTTGGTTGTTAGAACCCAATTTTTCTGACTGATCCTGCCACCCTACTAGGTAGATCGATAGTATTTTGTCTAAATGAAGATTCAGTATCATTCACAAGTGTGCATTGTACTCATTCAAACAATTAAGCAGGTGACTATCGAGTTTGGCCACCCGCTCGATAGCTTTATGATTGGAGCTCATTTAAAGGAAGGACTACGGGAAATTAAGTGTGTTAGTATACTAAACGCTCTGTAGCTTTAACGCAGTTCACACTCGGATTGACGGTTTTCTCACGTGATAAATACGTTATGGGTTACGCTATCAATGACAACGCGCGCAAACAATGTTGCGCACAGGTAGGAGTGCCAAAAATGAAAAAAGACGTATTATATTTTACCAGCGCTCGTTTATCTGAGCAGTGCCTATCTGGCGGTGGGTTCACCTGTAATTAGAGTTGAGTATATATTTGATTAAGCAACAGTAATTTTGTTGGATTTTTATTATTATTTATATACAAACGCAGCTATTTTGGGAAGCATCGTGACGCTAAGGCTCTTATTCCTACACAAGCCTTGTTTGTCAATCGGTGCCTTATTAGCCCGGTTTCTAAGTTTCGCTGGACAAGTATGCTTCGATTTTGCGAGCATATAATACAAGTACCTTTATTATGTCCTCGTCTTTTTTTTTCTAGGATTTGCAGTAAACAGTAACGATAGACTGTGTTTCATATTATTTGGTGATCTTATAGGGCAAGATATATTTTTATAACTAACATCGTTCACTTAATTTAACGTGATTATAATTATAGACTAGTTTAAGAGAACGAGCTGTCCTATCCTATGCAATTCGGTTTTCTTTGCCGTCCAAAACTCCGTTTCGACGAGAAGAAGGAACGCAATCACTGTGTGATCGTGATGTGAAGAACCATGCGCCAAGCCTATCGTTGCAAGATTATTTGGTTACGTTCACCGGCTTTCGACCCGACTAGTCCACATTGCCATATCCGGTTACCGGTGGCCAACCAGCACGCGTCCGGCCTGAGAGCCTTATGCTGAGGGAACAGCAGGCCGTTCCACTTGAGTGTGGAGGTAACAGTAACAGTTGTAATAGGCTGGGGGACTGTTGGCTGTGCCGCAGCAAACCGCGGTCATTGTAAGACCTCTGCAGCAGCTGACAGCAAGGAAGCCAAGCAAAAAGACGTTTGATGACAAGGGAAAATGAACTCTTTCTTTCAAGTGTTCTTTGGGTCTGTGTATCCCTGCGACTCGTCCCTTTTTCTCCCTTGGCGCTTTGCTTTTCCTTTCTCTAATTCGTCTCCTTATTCCGTGTTTCTAACGTTGTTGTGTCCCTTGGTCCGTTCTTCTTGGTTCATCCATACAGCCAATTGCTCTTTCGTCCGTCGTCATTTGGTCCATCGAGCGTTTGTGCTTCTAAGCATGTTCGTGTGAGTATCTAGTTGTGTGTGCATCTATACGAATGCATACCCTACAATAGAATGAAGCCTTTGGCAGTCATCCTGTTCTGATCGCTTTCTCTCTCTTCTCTCTCTCTCTCAATAGTCCTCTGGTCGCCTTTCGATGTTCCACCTTGAGATGCGTTTCCCCTCTTGGGGGTGTAGAGAGGGAGCAGAGGGTGAACGTCCCGTCCTACACAGAACTTTACCCAAGCTAACCATTGTGGAGGATTCTTCCTGGTCAATATATGCGTCCGCCCATGCACCATTACTTTGCCCTGCTGATGCCCTCTGTTTCAGCTGGTGGCACTGTCCGGAACGGTGCCAGCATCAACAGCAACTATGGCACACTTGTTTTCGTCGTCGTCCTCTCTTGTCTTTCTCCCCTTCTTCTCAAGCCTTTTCGTCGTCATTCGCTCAACTAACGCACGGCGCACTGCTGAATGCATTTTGGCGGCAGCAATAGCAGTTGCAGCGCACCAACAAGTCGAGCAGACATGCCCGAGTACGCTAAAGGGACAACGCATGAATGGACGCAGCGCCGACACCATACAGCTGGGGTTGGAGGTTTTTGGCGAAGCTTTAGGGGAACAAATTTGGGGGGTACAGAACAGCCTCCGGAGCACAGCACAACTCTTACCCGCAGCTCCGTTCGCACGATGATCCCAGTGAAGCGCTACCACTAGCCACTGCCAGCCTAAGCAAGTAAACATCCTCTCGATAGTAAATTACAATTAGGATGGCATCTCCTTAAGTCGCATTCGTGAGCCAGACAGCCACGCTGGCCAACGAGTCTGTCCTCCGCCGTACTGAATGAGCCAGCTCAAACCGAAGAAGCAATGACCCGTTCATATTGTCTGCCAATACATTGTGCGCGCATCTGAGTTCTCTGCGCCTTACCACTGCTAGCCACGTTTGCTGCTGCTGCTGCTGCCAGTGCTGTTGTTGTAGCAGCATTCGGTGTGCAGCAGTGCAAACCCACCTGGATGCACCGTCTCGCCCCTTCTATCCCGTCCCGTTTGACCCCTGACAGGGAAGTGTAATTCACCTAGTTTCTACCCCTTATTTCAGCCACCCCAGTGGTTCGCGCGGCGTCCCGCAATACACTAGGTTTGCTTACTGTTGCTGCTAGTCTAGAACGGTACCAACCGCCGCAGTGGCCATTAGCTGACTGCGAGTACTCAACGCTGCTAACGGCATTCATGTGGGTCGAACTAACCGATATATCTATATGTAGGTGCATATGGTCTGTATTTATGCATTTGTCTGTCTGTAGCGTTCGATTCAAGGTAGGTCTACCCTGTATCATTTATCCTCTCGCTACTCATTTAATACAATGAAAGAATATCTGCTTCTAATATTTACAACACGACATTCTCGTAACCCCCAACGACTGCCTCCAATGACTGCTTCGTTACACGGACTCGTTACCTTCGTTGACGCCCCTCCCGCCATTGGCTCATTGCTATTTATTGGCCTGCGTATGCAATACACAAGACTTCTGCATTATGTACACACGTCCACGATACCATATGCCTTTACTCATTAATAATATTCGTCATACGTATAACTACATTTGCATTAGAATAAGACTAGGTTTAATAACAATAATAATAATATAAATGGTTGATTCTAAGTAACATATTATCATAAACAAAGATGATTAGTTGCTTACGTCGCCGGTCTGTGTGTGCATGAGCGTGTTGTATTAGAAATAGCTCTGGTCACATTGGAAGCACATTGGCCCTACGATAGAGGCCCTAGCTGTTTTGGCGCGCGCCTCTCTGCCCTTCATGATGGCGTAGCAACCAATCACGTGCAGGGTAACTTCGCAACGGCTAGTGGGGCCCTTTCGCTCGGCGCAGGCAAGAGCGCCAGAATGGCTCGATCCCGAAGCCCTGCCCATTGGGTACGTCTTTCTATGCACAGAAACGCGATACGCTGGTCGGTCCATCGCCATTTCAACTAACAATTTTGGGTTGAGCTAAGGCTTTAGCAAACGAACACCGAACGAGTGCGTCTTCTTGGAGAAGCGTTTTCTGCTGTTGCTGTTTGACTGGCTGTTGGTATCGATGCCAGGCGGGCTTTCCAATCTACAACGCCACGTTAGGCGCAGTAAACGGCCCTCGCTTAGCCCCCAGATCGTTGCTGCTTGTTGGGAAAACGAAGAACGCCTGGGAATAACAGCGGGGCTTACGGCCGCTCTAGTAACGACTACAGAATACAGCGTTTACTCTTCCACCACCTTCAGTTTACTCCGCTCCTCCCCCGTTTCTGGGTGGCAACGCGAGCGGCAGGCGGCAAGCGCTGCGAAACGAGACCTTCTGCTTTGAACGTTGCTGCAGCCAGTGGTAGTAGGCGGTTGTAGTAATAGTAGTAGCTAGCAGACCTGCCACTTGCCATACGGCGTTCTCTGCAGCATGACGCTTAGGCTGCCTCTGGATACGTGCTTTGGGGTCATGCGTCAGAACAGGCGCCGCCCTCGGCCTCAGAAATCATCCGAACTCGGGCCCTCTGCCACATCTGCACGGGCGGGCAGACGGGCTGGTAGGAAGACAGACGGCCGACGCTCACACACCCAGGCGCTCACATGGTCAAGTCCAGGAGCCTAACGAGGAAGCGGTAGGCGGTGAGAGAGAAGCAGGCGGAGAGGCAACCAGGGGGTTGATAGCGCACGCTCAAAGAAGAAGAAGGAGGAGGAGGAGGAGGAGGAGCCGAGCGTCGCCATACAAGGGCCCGATATGGAGCCCAGACAAAAATATCGTGCGTATGTGCACCATCCAATAAGAGGCCGGGATAAACGTGGTCTTCCTTGCAAGCGACCGTGCTTGCTTTTGCACTGCGTTACAGCAGGAGCGAGGCTAACTAATAAGCTACTTCGCATCTTTATCCCGACTTCAAATAGATCACAACAACGAGAGAGCTGTTTTTGGAGAATTTATATGATGTGCTTCCGCAGAAATTTTACTGAAGCTAGAACACTTTCTTAGCGTAATCGCAAATGCATTGTTTATAAGACCTATCAAAGACGATACCTGCTGCTCCGGCTGACCTCAGTCTTCGTGCGTAGCACATTGTGCATGTATACGAATATGTCCACACAAATGTTCCACGAACGGCTGTGCGGAGCATAGCGACTGTTACGCAGAACATTTCCGAGACGAGAAATATGTGCGGGGGGGGGGGCTTTACGTCCTTTTTTGGTATAGAGGATTTGATCCTTTGGGAGGGTCCTTGCTTGGGGGGCCATAATGCAGTCGGCGTCATAATGGCACGACTGCTCAACGACGAATATCGTCCTAATTATGTGCTGATAAATCGTATGTACATGAACATAAATAATTAATGAAATTACACCCACCCATATGTTTCCAGACAATCATGGCGTGCTATACTTATTGGCGCTTGGTTTCGTAATTGGAAAACTGATAACTAATTAAAAATTCAGTTAGTTCGTGTTCCCGAGAAAATTGTTATAATATAAGCAACAAATGTTTTAAGGGGCAGATTAGCTGACATTTTGTGCAACAGGAATTAAGGTGTCGTAATGCTTTGCACCACGAGACTGTATAAGGGTGGATTTTTCTTACTGAGCGAATTGTAGCATTCCGTTTATAAAAAAAGAAATCGATGCTTCTGTTTGATCGCTGTTATCACCCTACTCGTATCGCTCCGCTACCTTACAGCGGGCGAAATTCCGACAGATTTTCATAGCGCCCCTTTTATCTGTAACTGTAACTTGACTTCCGTGGACAACTACAGATCGCAACAGATGCCTAATTCGGCAGAAGTTTACGTCGCGGGATAGAATACTGTGCTTTCCATTACCGGTTCTCCCTCGAGTTTCCGTCTTGCAATGATACGGACAAGTGATACAAACTATATGTCCAGTTTCGGGCACGCAAAAAATCCTAGTGCTGAGAAACTATCAGGCAAAGTATAATGAAACATTTTTGCTCTTTTTCTCTCTCTCTCTCTCTCTCTCTCTCTCTCTCTCTCTCTCTGTCTACATTTCGACGTAGACATTCCCTATGGTGAGCATCAGCTCAGTAAAGATGCCTGTGCGTATGACGGGGATTAATACTGTTCAGCCAGTTTCTTTTCATTCACAGTGTCTCGTTGCCGGCTTGCCATGTCCGGTAAGCACGAAAACGCACGCCAGCGGCATATTTAGATTTAGGTGTCCTCTGTGGGTGGGCGGATGAAGGCTCGTCGAGACAGTTTAG